CAGCTAGTCTCATCTAAGGGAACAACTGCAATTTAATTGAAACGTTAAATGCCATTGATTGTAAAAAGTGAATTAGTTCCTTTCGTAAATTCAACATTGGCTAATTTCTGGAATTCTTCTATCAGTAATGTCGATTTAACGATGAATTCAAATGTGTACACAAGCAATTAATTTCGGGATTCTTTACATCCATAGTGAATTTCGTGTAGGTTGAAAGATCGTATATTAAAGATCATTACTTCACAAAGAGTGTTTTACGGAATCAAAAGCAACAGACATGGAAATACTCAGTCGTTAATCATTTGTTATTGTACCTTGAATTATATCAAGACTTGATTGTTGGTTTTATTTTCTGTCACATACAGTTTGACATATTGATACTTTTCAATCTTTCTATAGTAATTTAGGCAACTTGGGTGAATTAATTTCGAGATTGATGACTTTAACTGTGAATTGGTGCACAAGTTCTTTATTCTTCCCTTGTTCGTGTGAACATTGATTTATTTCATTGCTATCTTTTTACACTTAAGAAAAAACAAACAAAAACTCGAAAACTAAACAAAGTAACTTTTTCTTCAAAGAACCTACAACGTAATTTAATTTTGAAATTTTAGTTATTTTTCTATTATAAAAGTAAAATTACTAACGGTATCCGGTTGATCAAATCAGATTAGTTGCAATGATATTCTAAAGACGTAGTGAATAACTGTTATATCTCAGTGATAATTAGCTTCATTATGATTCATTGAACATCGCCAGTTATTCATTAATATTTTGCCTTTTGATATATTAAACAAAAGTAAATTATTATTCCGAATAGTAGAACAGTAGTTTGTCATTATAGGGTGTTTAGTAGCCTAAGGTAGAAGCGTAACTCAGTGAGGGGTTTCAATTCTTTTATTCTAGGTGAATTGTTTTAACGAAGTTAACCTTTTTGCCATTTTCCAACACCTTATTTTCCACTGTGGGTTATCCCACTTGACTTTCCTAAAAAAATAATGTCACTAAGAAATACCCCTTAAGCCTATAAATAGGCAATGTTATTCTCACTCATTCTCTTTTCTCTTTTACAACTCTGCCTATAAGATGTAGTGGCTCGCGTGAAAAAGGTGTCCCCCATTGGGTCACGTACATTGGGTCACGTACATTTTCAATGTCTTACTTTTCTGTCGGGATTTTTGTACTCTATCACACACGTGTCTATCACTTAGACCTACACAAATTTCACACACATTCTCTAATTTAAATGATTTATGAAACTAGTCTTTAAATGTTTTCTTCTTTTGTTTTAATTGTAATACTTTTGTTAATACATGCATTATGGTTTGTTTTATATTATTTTTGTTACTCATTTATTACTTGGACTCACATTCAAGTCTGCAATAATTATTCCAATCCACACACTTGGATATTCAATATTTTAAAATTAATAACTTTGTCGAATGAAGTCCGTGTTCATATGTACGAGGGACACTGAAAAATTCTCGGCACGACCAAGAACAAATTAAAAAATCTAATATTTGATCATTTAGTCAGATTTTCAGAAGTGATGCCATCTGATAATTTTTCAGCATTCCCTCATAAATATAATTAAGATAAGAACAATGATTGGAGACAGTATTACTATTGTTCAGGTAAAAAAGACAAGAAAATAAAACTTTTCTTTTTTCGTGAATGGGCTGATGGTTTCACTAACAAGAAATAATGTTCCGATTAAAAATTAAAGGAAATTCCATGGACAGCAATATACGATAATATGCACTGATGGAGGCAAAATTTCTCCGATATTTTCCAATAACTCTTTTCGATCAGTTATAAGAATACAAAGAGTCATCTCGGCCAGAAATTAGTTCATTAGTCTAAGCGGGAAGTTCGACGGTGAAGTGATCGGTTCATTTCCGACAGGACAGCAGTTTGTGGGAGATGTGCCAACCACATTTACAGGCTCTACTTTGATCTGTAGAGCCAGCATCACTAATTTCAGAATAATTGGAAGACCGATTTTAACAGAAGAATGACAGACAAAGCAAACAGTCCATTGTCTTAGCATGAAATGATAAGTTTCCGTCGCTAAGATTATTTTGTGTAAAAGTAGTTGGATTGGGATCGTGGAGCGGTCAATCAATGCATTAGAACCAAACTAAAACTAGCCGTTAGTCGATCAAGTAATGCACAGCGGGAAGCTAAAAGTAGGACCACTCAGTGCGGTCATATTATTGGAACCAATCGAATTCTCGCTTCTAAAATATAAACATATAAATATAATATATATTATAAAAAAGAAGAGCAGATTTTCATATATATATATATATATATATATATATATATATATATATATATATATATATAAAATCATATTTTAAAATATGATTGATTATATATATGTATATAATTAATCATATTTTATAATGATTGATTATTTATATATATATATATATATATATATATATATATATGAAATGAATCATATATGATTGATTATATATATATATGAAATCAATCATATTTTAAAATATGATTGATTATATATATATATATATATATATATATATATATATATATATATATATATATATGAAATCAATCATATATGATTCATAATATATATATATATATATATAATCAATCATATTTTATCTACTTGTGTCATTGAATGCACCTATGTAATGTATGTGCATATATCTGTGTTGCCTGTGGGTGACTTATATGTGCTTTCGCCATTTAATGTATACATAAGCGCGCGTGCGCGTGTGCTTGCCTATGCACACACAATTTGACCAATTTTATTCTTTTATTTTTTTTATTTTATTTTAAATTTTTAGAAATATTTTTAGGTCTGTCCCTGCATTGAAAAATACACACGTCTAGAGGGACAACGTACAATGCACACACGCACACATACACTTTGAATGATATTGTAATGGCACAACTGTGTCACGATTGTTAATTTCCCTTTCTGTTTACAACAACCCATTTGAAGTCATTTTTATCTGCTTCTGTAACGAAATTAAATATATTTTCTAATAAACGTAGTATTTTAAATTTGATGATCTTGCCGTCAACGTTGTGACAGGTACCGACCAAGTACAGCATAATGAATGTGTAGGTGTTGATCTTTTTACGCTTCTTAATGATGATTAATAGATTGATTTCGACATTAAATACAGAAAAGATAAATTTATTTTCATTTTTTTTCTCAAACTCACCAGGATCTTGAAATCCGAGTTAATTTTAAAAGTAAATAATCTGTCATAAGAATATATGCGCAATGTCGCAATCATCTGCAGCGAAAGTTTAATTGGCGTGCTGAGTTCAGATTCCATCCAAGGCCGTTGCGTTCGCTTTTGCCCAAATACCTTTGGAAAAGTATGAATCTCTCTTCTAGGTCGCCCCAAATCTAGGGATTAATAGAAAGGTAGACTTGATTGACAAACACTCTATGATAAGGACAACTCTTAATTCAAAACCGGTTGAACGTGGGGATAGAAAACTCCACCCCGTAAAAATCTACTTGCTACTGGAACCACATCAAAGCTTAGTGTGATGAGAGTGTGGTCCTATACATGTAATATCCCAGCATCAGAAGGGAGATAACCCCTAGACACAAGAGTTAGGTCCCCTCCGGACATCCGGTTAATTTTAATCAGCAGCTTAGCAGCAAGAGGGAATAGGAGGCTACCATCACCGGAGGGACAATCAAGAACCATTCTAAAATCCTAGCAAGGCATTAATCGACGCCTAGCAAGCATCGATAGCTTCTTGCGCAGAACATTACATTGGCGACGAGGAGTGAGTCGTTACCCTCACAAAAACAGAACATCAACACACTTAAAAAAAAAAAAAAATTCAACACGTGTTCAATATATAACCAATATGGCCGCCGTACCACACTACCCCGAATTTGATTGTGAGCCAAAGCAGCAAGATGGACAAAATACGTAAAAAGACTGAAAAACTATTTTGTCGCACATAACATTGAGGATGACAAACGGCAAAAAGCAATCCTTCTAACGTTTTTCGGCGAGGCTACGAATGACATCATCGACGAGATACCACAGGAGCGAGTCACACCAGAAAAAAACGAAACACATTTCGACAAGCTTGTCTCAGCGGTGCACAACCACTTCAACCCTGAAAACGACACGGAATACAACCGATTTGTGTTCCGGAAAATTAAACAAAATAGCCCAGGCATCGAAGAATTCTACCGCAAACTAAAGGAAGCTGCGTCTATGTGCCATTTTTCCGACATGGATTCCGAGGTGAAGTCCCAACTAATTACAGGCTGCCTGTCGGAAAAAGTCCACCAGAAGGGACTCATGAACTCGGATATGTCACTACATGACTTAATAAACTACGCAAGGACAACGGAGACGATAGCGTCGCACCTACAAACAATGCGACTGGAAGACAACAACACTGCTACTGCTACAACCGCCCCAATAAACAAAGTCGCGGACGAACAGCGCCGACCAAGCAACTACCCCCGGCAATACCGGTGCAGGAATTGCAACGGAAAATACCCTCATGAGCGGCATTTCATACCCAGTGTACATATTGCGGAAGGTGGGGACACTTCACCTCTGCCTGTTTCAGAAGATTAAACGACGGAAACAGACAACGGGAAACACAGACCAATCGACGCTCAGTGAACCGCATTGAAAACGTAGCAGCGGTAGTGACATAGAATACGTGTTCCACACAGGTAAGACGAAAAACCTTCCTTGTTTTAACGTGTCTTTTGGCTATAGCCGCCAGACGTTCAACGCACTAGCCGACTCAGGCGCCATCATTAACGTCCTGTCTGAGGCAGATTTCAAACGTTTGAGACCAGCACCCCACCTCCGACCCACAAAAACGGTAATATATGGGTTTGGTGTAAAGGAAACCACCCCAGCCCTAGGCTGGTTCAACATACGCCTAGAATTCATGGGTACCGTTTGCCAGGCCGACATACATGTGATAAAGAGCCCAGAAAAGCCCATCATCGGCTGGGAGACATGCAAAAGGTTAGGACTGCTATCCGCACACAAACCATACCACCTGCTGCCCAGAGATACCGCAGAATCCCCTTCCACGTAAGGAAAGATGTGGAGGAACAAATATATAAAGATGAGAAACTAGGGGTTATTGAAAAAGCAGAAGGGCCAACCCCATGGGTATCTCCCATCGTGGTCGTACCGAAGAGGGACCAAAACAAAATCAGAGTGTGCATTGATATGAGAGCAGCAAACAAGGCCATTAAAAGGAAACGGCACCCAACCCCCACACTAGATGAACTGAAAACCATTCTATCAGGAGCTAATATCTTCAGCAAATTAGACCTCAATCAAGGTTACAACCAATTGGAACTAGCTGAAGAATCCCGCTGCATAACAACCTTTGCGACACACCTCGGCCTATACAGATACAAAAGGCTATTCTTCGGTGTCAACTCCGCCAGTGAGATATTCCAGGAAGAAATCAGTCAAGCACTTGCAGGGATTAATGGAGCCATCAACATCAGTGATGACATCCTCTGTTTTGGATCAGACCAGCAGGACCACGACCAAAACCTTCGCGCAATATTCCAGCGACTTCGCGAAAAAGGTCTCACCCTCAATGGCAGCAAATGTGAGTACAACAAAAGGTCACTGGAATTCCTCGGACACACTTTTGGCAACAAAGGCATTAGCCCAAGCAGCCTCAAAATAAAAACTATCCTTGGGCTACCCAACCCTAAAAATGCATCAGAAGTCAGAAGCTTGTTGGAGATGACTAACTTCTGTGGTGCACAATTCATTCCAAACTACGCGACCCTGACTCACGACCTACGTCAACTAACAAAAAAAAAAAAAAACACTCAGTGATCCTGGACTTAAAACAAATCAAGGACGCCCTGAGCAAAGCATGCTCACTCGCCTACTTTGACCCGAACAAACACACTGAGATATACACCGATGCTAGCCCCGTAGGCATCTCTGCCGTGCTGTCACAAAGTGGACAGGTAGTACAATTTGCAAGCCGAGCATTATCCGCAGTTGAACAAAGATACTCCCAAACAGAACGTGAAGCCCTCGCTATCACATGGGCATGTGAACATTTCCACATATACATTTTCGTAGCACCATTCACTGTGCATACAGATCATAAACCCTTGACATCAATTTTTTAACAACACCCGCTCCCAACTATCGGCACGCATTGAACGCTGGGTCTTGAGAACACAACCGTACAACATGACCGTCATATACCGACCAGGTTATGACAACCCAGCTGACTACCTCAGCCGTCACCCTATACACCTGCCACCGAGCGACAGAGAACAAAAAGTAGCAGAAGAATATATAAACTACATCCTCTCAACATCAACCCCCAAAGCAATGACGATTGAAGAAGTCGCAATGGAAACCGCAAAGGACAAGACACTCACAGCCGTCATACAAGCCCTCCTCACCAACAAGTGGTACGGTATTGACGATGACGTAGATAAAGCAACATTCCAAGCTCTGCATGCCAACCGTGCCGAACTCTCACTAGCACACAACGACAGCATCGTTCTCAAAGGACGCCGGATAGTACTGCCCAAGACACTACAAAGCAGAGCCGCCCAAATCGCACATACCGGACATCAAGGCATCGTGAAATCCACGGCCCTCCTCCGAGAAAAGGTCTGGTTCAAAAACATGCAGGCCCTAGTAGAAGAAAACATCAGGAACTGTCACACCTGCCAGATCATCACCCACAAACCTGCAAGAGAACCACTGCAAATGTCCCCACTACCAGCGGCTCCATGGACAGAAGTCAGTGCTGACTTCGGACACCTCCAAAATGGGAAATACCTACTTGTCGTCACAGACGAGTACTCACGCTACGTTGTTGTTGACATCCTAGACTCCATCTCAACGACATCAGTGATACCCCGCCTGGACAAAATATTTGCGGAGTTTGGGGTACCAGTATTCCTCAAAACGGACAATGGCCCACCATTCAACAGCAGCGATTTCAAAAACTACGCCTCCATCACCGGATTCAAACACAGGAAGATAACATCCCTGTGGCCCCAGGCCAATGCTGAAACAGAACGCATTATGCGCACTGTAAAAAAGTCCATCAAGGCTGCCCTAATTAAAGGCCGAAACTGGAAGCAGGAATTATTCAAATTCCTACTGGACTACCGAACAACGCCACACTGCACCACAGGTGTACCCCCGGCCTCAGTCCCATTTGGCCGGACCATAAAAAACCGCCTGCCACACTTGATCACACCCATAGCTGGAGACCCCAGCATCAGGGAGCGTGACACACAAGCCAAGACAACTGTGAAACGACACGCTGACAGGAAAACATACGTGAAACCCAATGATCTCAGAGTGGGTGACACAGTCATTATAAAAAACGACCACACCTCAAAGGCTCTCACACCCTACCAACCTAACCTAATGACTGTGACAAAGAAAAAGGGATCCATGATAACTGCCACACATGAGGGTAACCAAACTACAAGAAATGCCACCTTTTTCAAGAAAATCCCAAGACCACCAACAAGCCCCACACACAACCCACTTGATTACTCCTCATCTGAAGATGAAAACTACACACACACTACAACACCAGCAAAATCTAAAGACACCCAGGCACAACATACCCCCAACCTCAGGCGCACAGGTCGAGCAAGACGGCCACCCAAAAGGCTCGATTGCTAAATCCCTCTCAAAAAAAAAAAAAAAAAAAAAAAAGCATTGTAATATCCCAGCATCAGAAGGGAGATGACCCCTAGACATAAGAGTTAGGTCCCCTCCGGACATCCGGTTAATTTTAATCAGCAGCTTAGCAGCAAGAGGGAATAGGAGGCTACCATCACCGGAGGGACAATCAAGAACCATCCTAAAATCCTAGCAAGGCATTAATCGACGCCTAGCAAGCATCGATAGCTTCTTGCGCAGAACATTACAATACACCATAGCAGAGACTACGTGGTTAGCATGCATGCAAATCGTCATAAAGAATCATATATATATATATATATATATATATATATATATATATATATATGTATTAGGAAGGAAGACAGAAGGATATAAATTCATAATAAGATATTACAGAGTTTTAAGTCTTAGTCTTTCGTAACTACGTTCAGAGTTATTGTCGTAAAAACACGATTTTTAAGACCTCGTTAAAATAAACCTTAGTAATAAGTGGTTGCATTGTATGAAAAATGAAAGATGTTAGTTACCATTTAGTAAGCCTTTTGACTTCATCCTATGAACCTCATACAGTGTTGATTTCCACAAAGATTACATTGTTTTGCATCACTATAACTGATTAGTTACATACTCTGTTTATTCAAAACATTATGACTAGTAACAATTAGCATAAATGAGAGCTACTGTCTCGTAACATAAGGCTGAAGGTACTTATAAGAAAAAAATGTGTCAATGGCTGGCCATTATGTATTGATACAAGAAATGAATGGTAATTTTGCTGCCAAGTTCGAACCAAGAGAAGGGCTACTGTGGCACAAATTGAAGATAACCTTAATGAAAGTGATTACAAGAATGCGCCACAGCGCATGGGATGTTGATTTTTGAAATTAAGTAATTTTTTAGATAGGAATCTAAAGACATGTGCATATCGGCTTTTTCGTTCTACAACTTTGGGATATTTATAAAAGACCATTTAAAATTATCCATAGTAGTTATTCAGTGTTGAATGTATTTTAAGAAAAGTCACAATAATTCATTTTCATTTTCACTTACTCGTTGTTAACACGAAAAACAAAAAAACACAAAACAAACAAAAAACATGCAAATTTAGAAAACATTTAAAAATATTTCTATAGATATTTCATTTACAACGACTCATGCATTTTCAAAGAATATGCATGAGTAAAATTCAGAGAATACTTTTTAAAACTTGCTAATACTCGAACTTGAGATTTTCTTCCTTTAATGATATATAAGATAATACGATTACCATGTACAAAAATGAGGTTTACGAGTTATTGCCACAAAAATCTATTTAAGTTGAAAATTGAAGGCATTTAAATGTAAATGAGATATGATGTGGGATAAAAGAAATTGTCATTTTGGATTAACTCGTATAGAAAAAAAGAAATAATTATCTCGCTATTTATGTGCTATTTATGAACGTTAACTTTAAACATTTGAAATTCAATTATATTGGTTGATTGTGGAACTATCCTACGAAGAAACTTCTAACAGATACCGTAGGGACAAGACATGTCTCATTTCCACTTCGCAGCAAGCCACATGTCACACTGTATACATCACAGCAAGCCACATGTCACACTGTATACATCACAGCAAGCCACATGTCACACTGTATACATCACAGTAATCAAATGGGGTTTCTGTTATCTCCAAAATTAGATCCCCACAAGGCATGCGAACTTTGATGGTTTACCTACAATTGTGCAAAGGAAATATGCTCCTGAACTGGCTCCTGTTCTATCTAAACTCTATAATAAATGCCTTATTGCTTTTTGGTTTCCAGCTTATTGGGAATTATTCTCTATAGTTCCCGTCTTTAAGAACTCTAGTAAACCCTCTGATCACTCGAATTATCGTTCTATTAGTCTTCTACCTTTTTTTGGTAATGTACTAGAGGCCCTAATTAACTCCGAATTGGTTAAGCATCTCACTACGCACGGTTTTCTTTCACATAAACAATTTGGCTTTCGCCCTCTCTAAGGTCAACCGCCGATGTGTTGACGGTTATTAGTGAATTTGTTTATCAAGCGATAAGAACTGCAAAGCTCGGACTGTGACTTTAGATATCTCGAAGGCCTTAGACTGTTGGCCTTCTTCACAAGCTGATAGCCACCAGCGTTTTGGGGTTGACTCTTTGTCGCTGCCACCAGACCGTGTCCCGGTCTATCTGGTCGTTCCCGGTTCGATACCAGCTTTGTCGTTCCTAGCTCACTTCCAACATCTGGTTACCGAAGTAACTACTTTGATCTCAAGTCTAACCTACCCACGTTGTGACTTTGATATCAATCAGGCGTCGGGCCGTAGTGCAAGCTGAATCCGGATAAAGGTGATATCGCACAAGTGTAAGTAAAAGAAGCAATAAAACAAACTCAACAGGTTCAAATATGTTGAGAAATAACAAATTATTTTTATCTGTCTGTTATTTTTATCAGGAGTGTGTTTCTCTCCCAGCCCGTTTCTATGGATTTGTGACACGTTTGCGTTTCTTAAGCGAGTTTTGGTATCTTAAGTCGTTCGTCAATATAACTTGCTTTTGGTAGGAAGTCGAAGTCGAAACGGACGTGGAAATCGGTCTGACTGCAACTGCGAATCAACTGCTGGAACTCCGGAACTACTCGAAAACTACCCGGGGACGTTCGTTTATATGGGCACCGACCAAAACCCGGTGTGGGGCCTGACGTGGCTTGGGTTCCCGATAATTCTCGATCTCCAGCAAGAATTCTCTTTGTTCTTAGGCCAGAAAAATTAATTACTTCCCATTTTTGGAAGATTAATCACTTTCCATTTCGGGGGTTTCTCTCTCGTCCGTGAGGGAAGATCGGAGGAGAGTTATCCTCCTAGACTCTTCCTCTCTCATATTGGTATCTCATACCAATCCCCTCAGTGGGTGCTAACAACTTCTCCGTCTTTCTAATACATTCACCTCCGCCTATCACCCATGCTACCACTTGACCAATGATCTCTCTGCAGTGTGGGTGTGGCTAGACTGGCCCTCTTAAAATTATTATCCAGAATTTTGTTTACAAATCCCCCCCTTTTTTTCCTTCGGCCAAAACATTTTTTTAGAACCCCCAGATTGCTAAATGATTCTTATCACATCTTTCTTTTGGGGACACCCAAAATTCACTTAGTCGGTT